GCCTGATTCTGTGTTTGGAGTCCATTATTGATTGATGAACAATGTTCAGCTGCGCCGTAAACAAAGCGCGCTCCAGTTGTAGCTGTAAATTGTGTTATTGTTCGGCAGACAGATGACGGCTGCTAATGTTGAACTGAGAGGATCTTAGAGGTGGATTTAACACGTTTCCTCTCGTTTCGGGTTGAGAAGGCAGATAAAGAAAGAGGTAGCTTCCAGAGAAAAGGTGTGAAATTCGGAATTAGCAGCACAATATGGAAGTATTAAAGTGCGGCACAAAGAGCAGGGAGAGCCGCGCGGCGCGGTGCTGCTTCCCTGACTCTACGGAGGGATGAAGACGCCGCGTTTCTGCTCGCCGCGTCGGGAAGGCCCAGAAACAAACGGAAACTGAAAATAGTTCCTGAGTGCGGCAGACACAGCCGAGAAAACCTGGTCTGGAATCTGTTCATAGAGAAAACACGGTTTTTATCATATTTCAGTTTTCTATACTAGAATGTATTGATTGTTTTTACAATCATCTGTGAAAAATAAGGCTTTTCATTTATTTATTTGTTGGTTTTGCAAAACTAAAACCCTCTGGAAGTCAGATGGCGTCTAACACCTAAAGTAACGTAAATAAAGTTCTAAAGTGATTTTAAAGGGTGTAAATTTGGTTCAAATCATTTATTCTGACTAATTTAAACTGACTTGAATCAGACAGAGAATCTCTGGGAGAAGCTAAAGATTAGGGTGATGGCAAAGTGTTCATCCAACCAAACACAAAACCTGGAGAAAAGACGGATCATAGCAGTAGATATTTTTCTGATGTTCATTAGGAGGATAAAAGACATTTTGCCTTAAATTTGGGTTATTTAGCCTGTGATGGGAAATGATAACTCATTCATAAAAGAATCACAATCTAGGCAGTAAGATGCTCAGATTTTCATGTCATTTTCAAGTTTTCAGGTGATATTTCATGTTTATTCTCCTTTTATGATGATTTATTCCAGTCATTTAAAGAGAAGCGTCTCCTCGACCTTCACTTCACACGCGGCTGTAAAACTGTTTCAGTTCCTCCAAAGTGACGTCGTGTTTTCTCCGCCTCCCTGTAGATGGAGGCAGAGGAATGACCCTGCAGGGTCAGGTGCTGTCGCACTGAAGAGGTCAAAGGTGAAAGGATCACGTTCTGATTTCTGTCACTACGCTGGCTGGTTAAGTCTCTTCCTTTATCCTAAACCAACAGGTTTTCTTCCTCCTATTTGTTTTATTATCATGAGTTTCAGGGCAGCAGAAAAAATAAATTTACTTGAAATTGTTTAAAAATAAGAAATAAAACGTTAAAATTCCTTTAGTTCAGCGAGTTCATTTCTAACAATAATTATAAAATTTTTTCTTTATTTTCAACCTAATGAATCTTTTACATCTATATTTATTTTCAGATTTTTGAGCCTTAAAGCTGCAGAATCTAACTTATATTTGTTGTTTTTCACATATTTGTTAAAACTGTCCAGATAATCTGTGAATAGATCAACCAATCAGAGCAAGGAGGGGGGCTTAGCGCTGTCAATCATACACATGAATGTGCCGGACAAACAACTGACCGTTACAGAAAAACTGTTTATCCACCATCATTGGTGGCTATGCTAACTAGCTGTAGCATTCATTACAGCGAGCCAATCAGTTCATCACTCAGCCCAACTCCGACCTATTGACCCTTTCCATGTGACATCCTGCCATTCAGAACGCAACCCAGGCGGCCATGACACATAGAGGAGAGCAGCAAAACATATTCAGGTTAGAGTAGAAATACTTAACATATCTTTACTCAAGTAAAAGTTTCTGTCCAAGACCAGGAAGAGTAAAAAAGCATTCGGTAAAATCCTGAGTAACTGGTCAAATTATCAACCATTTCATATCTAAAAATTACATCATCGGACAGACCAAAATATAAAGACAAAAATTACAATAATTCACATAAATAACAAAAAATAAAATCAGGCAGAGAATTTTAAACTTCTGAAACTTTAACAGTGTTTCTGTGTCTGGTGAATTTTTCATTCAGTGGGTAGAAAATACAGAGAAAATAAGAAAATTACTCAAGTAAAAGTAACACTGTAGAAAAACGTCTGGCCTCTACAGCTGTCTGTATTTAACTGTAAATTTGTTCCATAAACAGACGCCTGCAACACAGCAACTTCACTGAGTTCAATGGTCTCAGGCTGCAGGCAGAAAATAAATTACTTTACAACCTTGAACAGATTCTGCAGCGAATCAGTAGACGGCTGCGATCTACCGTCTAGATCGCTCGGTAGACGCACGGTAGACGCTCGGTAGATGCTCGGTAGACGCACGGTAGACGCTCGGTAGACGCTCGGTAGACGCTCGGTAGACGCACGGTAGACGCACGGTAGACGCTCGGTAGACGCACGGTAGACGCTCGGTAGACGCTCGGTAGATGCTCGGTAGACGCTCGGTAGACGCACGGTAGAACGCACGGTAGACGCTCGGTAGATGCTCGGTAGACGCACGGTAGACGCACGGTAGACGCACGGTAGACGCACGGTAGACGCACTGTAGACGCTCGGTAGACGCTCGGTACGTGAGACGTAATCGAACACTGAGCTCTGGAGGATGTAACCATACCATGATGCAGCATGTATGGAAAAACTGGTCACCATCTGGACTTTTGTGCTGTTTCTGAGGTTTTGAGTTATGTGGTGTGAACTCAGGTGATCTGATCAGCAAACAGAGGCAGAAGGTTAGGGTTGGTTTGGGTCAGTTTGGGTCGGTTTGGGTCAGTTTGGGTCGGTTTGGGTCAGTTTGGGTCAGTTTGGGTCGGTTTGGGTCGGTTAGGGTCAGTTTGGGTCGGTTTGGGTCGGTTTGGGTCGGTTTGGGTCGGTTTGGGTCGGTTTGGGTCGGTTTGGGTCGGTTAGGGTCGGTTTGGGTCAGTTTGGGTCAGTTTGGGTCAGTTTGGGTCGGTTTGGGTCGGTTTGGTCAGTTTGGGTCGGTTTGGTCGGTTGGGTCGGTTTGGGTCAGTTAGGGTCGGTTTGGGTCAGTTTGGGTCAGTTTGGGTCAGTTTGGGTCGGTTTGGGTCGGTTTGGGTCAGTTTGGGTTGGTTTGGGTCGGTTTGGGTCAGTTTGGGTCAGTTTGGGTCGGTTTGGGTCGGTTTGGGTCGGTTTGGGTCAGTTTGGGTCGGTTAGGGTCGGTTTGGATCGGTTTGGGTCGGTTAGGGTCGGTTAGGGTCAGTTTGGGTCAGTTTGGGTCGGTTAGGGTCGGTTAGGGTCGGTTAGGGTCAGTTTGGGTCAGTTTGGGTCAGTTTGGGTCAGTTTGGGTCGGTTTGGGTCGGTTTGGGTCGGTTTCCAACCGTTTCATTCACAGACAGTTTATCTCGACTCAAACAGGTGGAAGCCTTGAATAAACTGGGTTTTTCAGGCTGCTTCATGTTACCGGGTCGGTTCTGTTTGAGGGATTTTAGAGCTGGTGAACTTGGACCAAATAATGCTAGTAAATGAATAATAAATTAGAGCAGCTGTGTTTTGGTTTCATGTTAAATCAAACCTTCATTCTGAAACAGTTTTTTGCATTTTTCTCCAGTTGAGAGGTTTAGCTGCTTTCCCACGCAGAGCATCAGTTTGGTAAAACTTTAGTTGAGTTTCTCGCTGTGCATCGTCTGCAGAGGAGAACGTCTCCCGCCTGGTGACAGGCGTAATTCCCTGTATTTAGACGAAGCGCCTGAACACCTGGACGCCTCCGGTACGCGGGCTAACCTATAGCTGGAGCCGGGGGCCGCGTCCCGCCGCCGATGTCGCCGCGCAGCTTCAGTTCAGCCACCTGGCAGCTCCATAATGACACATCAGCTCCCACACACGGCGCCGGAGCCGGTGATCAGCGCGGCGCAGCGGGGCAGACCCACCTGACATGACACGGCGAGGGCGGAAAAAGCTGGACGGAGGGACGGCTCAGGAAGAAAACAAAACCTGACTGCACCTGTAACGGACGGAGGTAATTCTCCATGGAGCCCAGCAGGAGCCACAGGTTCAGCAGGCTAAACGGCTAACGAGACGTCATGAGAATGTTTCAAGCTTTTTAATGATTGTAATGATTAATGAATGAATATCAGGATGAATTGGCTATGCAGGTAGTCCAGATTTTATCGATTATTTCAGAAATGATGCAGCAAAGTGAAAATAACACCAAAAACCAACCAGAAGCCGCCCCACCTCCCCTCCACGCTCCGCTAGCCAATAGAATCGGGACGAAGAAAAACAAAACCAAAATTTTTCCCCAAACAGGAACAGAACTTGCGGTCCGCTCCGGTTTTATGTTTGCAGGCGCGACGCCGGCCGGCGGTTTTGTTCTGCAACGGCGAAAATAACATTTTACAATAAACAACTAAAAACCGCGAATCAAAGATTCTCGTTAACAACGAGCGGATGGAAATTTTTAACCACGTTTATTCATTTAAAACTAGAGGGAAAAACGGCTGGAGTTGATTAGAAAACAGGATCAGAACAGAACATTTATTGTTGCTGTTTCAGTTCATTTAAAGTTCAAATCAAATGTTTTGTTGAGTTTCTGCTTAATGGTTTTGCACTTAAAATACTGAAAGTCAAGTTTCTTGTTTTTGTGCATAAACTTGGATAATAAAATATTTTTTTAATTCCAAACAACCCAAAAAGTATATAAGATTTCCATCCAGCTGGTGTGTTTAGGAAAATACATGGATAAAGAAATAATTTAGCATTTTAATTTTGATGTTTTATTGAGAATAAGACCCTTAAATTACATTTTTTAGACCAAAATGGAAAAATGACAGTAAAAGTTGCTCTTTTTATTAAAAACAGCCTAAGAAGTAAATAATATTAACATCCAACTGGAAAATAAATAGAAAAAACGAATAATTTTGCATTTTAATTGTCATATTTTGTGATATTTTTAAACCAGGAAGTGACTGTTTTTCCCTAAAAAGTGAGACTGACAATGCCTGTGTTTATCTGGGCGACAGTTGCGATCTTTCTCCTGACCTTTTCTCAGTCTGTTTTCTGCCGGTCGCCACCTTTCCCAGTCCCACCTGCTGATAACTCGTTGATTTGTTTCACACTCTGGAAACCATCCATCGCCAAGCCGCACATGCACAAACCGCTAAAAGACGAGAAAAAAAGGAAATTTGAATAAGAAGTGATTGTATTAGGTGATGCACGGCGGCGGTATCACACTGCTTTGTTAGAGCGGCTGGGATCCGGGCCGGTTTAGCAGCACCAGCATGCTTCTCCCAGCTCTTTTTCAGCTCCCTTCCCATTCACAGCGTGCCAGCAGGGTCGTGACCTCTGCTTTCTCCTGGCTAAGTCGTGGAAACATGAGAAAAAGAAAAGAGAAGCGACTAATTTACCCTCGTCTGCTGCCATAGGAACCAACCATCAGCAGCGTTACGCAAAGAAACTAAATCTCAGAGAGAAACTGAATTTTTTCGCCCTCAGCTGCTTTGTTTGATTTTTTCATTCCTAAATTTGGTGAAATAATTTTGTTGCTAATTAATTTAATCAGTTTTATTGATACTATTTTACCCTACAACTTTTTTTCACACATTTAATTAAATACTTTTGGTGCAAATGAGGGGAAAAAAGACAGAGAAAATGTTGAGGTTTTATTTATTTAATAAACCCCAATTAACACTCCTAAAAAATTACAATAAATAATTAATTCCACCCGAAAAGAAGATTATCACCTCCAAAGTTCAACATAATTTCATCTGAAATTTATTTTCCATTGCCTAATATTTTCCAAACCAAATAACCACCAAAAAGTTTGTGTCCCATTTTAAACAGAAAAAAGGAAACATCCTGCAGGGCAGTAATGCACCAAGTTCTGATATAAAACCAGTAGAAAAAGAAGATGGCTGCCTCGCTATCTAACAAGATGACATGCTGGTGAAACACTTCAAAAAAGCAACTTCTGAATTAACATTAGCATCATTAGCAGCTAAGCTAAGCTACAATGTCAGCAACAATTTTATGAAATGATAGAAATAAATCTGCTTCCTGAAAAACAGTCATATTTTATTAACTTCAGTACATTTTTGGACTCTTCGTGAATTTATAGTTCCGGACATTAGCAAGTGAGCTAAGCTAGCAAGCTAATCAGAAGCTAAGAAGTATTTATTAGATGTTTACGTTCTTCTTCCGCGCATCCAAGTCACTTTGGGGTCGTAAATTATTTACACAAAACTATGAACGCAAACAATTTAAAAGATGATGTGAGCAAAAAAACAAAAATTGTAAATAAGCACAACTTTTTTATTTCTGTGATTAGACCTGTCGTAAGAATTACACTTTATCTAAAAGCCATAACCGGGTGAGTTGTAATAATACACTCAAGTATTTCAAAATGTGTTAAACCTTAAATTCAGTTTATGTACATTTGAATTAGCAAAATAACTTTTCTTTAGTGGATTGGGCACCAAAATGTTTCCAGCCCAGGGGCCCCAATCCTCATAAATGCAGCCCTGCCTATTATTTCAGACTTAAAATAATAAAATAATAGTTTTTTCAGATGTTTTTGGGGAAATATTGTCATTTATTTAGGTGGTAACCACCTGAGGAATCAGTCCAGAAAAACTGAAGTCAGTATCTCCTCCTGACAGCCAATCAGATTCGTCTTAGCAGTGGATCCACACCAGCAAACCTCACGTTTACCGCGCGTGTGTCAAGTGAACGTCAGCTTCATGATCTCTCATCCTACAGCCGAAAGCATCATCATCCAACACACACACACACACACACACACACACACACACACACACACACACACACACACACACACACACACACACACACACACACACACACACACACACACACACACACACACACACACAGCGAGTCAGCAAGGAGCAAGCTAGCGCTTAAAGCAAAACTGGGCTTCCATGGTCATCCATTATCACTGACAAGCTAAATGTACCATGCTACGCCATATGGTACAGAGACGGAGCGAGCCAGAGAGGAGGGCGAACGAGGCTACCGTCAGGGGAGAGAGAGAGCGAGGAAGAGGAGGGAGGATGTAGAGCGTTACGACTGAGGTGTGAGTTCTTAATCTACATTCTGCTTTCTGCTTTATGTAAGTAACAACCTGAAAACACTCAGATGTTCCTGCAGCAAATCCAGACTTAAAGCAACGATCCTGCAATCAGATTCATTATTATTACTGCAAAACGCTGCAAAAAACACTGGAACATTTAAATATCCAAAATCATTAAACAAAATAAAATGAAACAAAGTCTCTGCAAACAAAACTGTCCAACAAAAAAAGAAGTTAGTTGAGAGCAAAACATCAAACTGAAGACTGTCATCATCCAGAAAACAGAAAAATATAAATATTCCAAATAAAAATTATTGACCTCCTTTTAATTGATCATCTGAATCATTGATTTATTGTGACAGGCCGATATAGGAGTCTGTTTTAAGTCAATAAATCCTAAATATCGATGAAAAACTGATATTCCAGTAACACTGGCCAATTATTTCACCTAAAACAAGTTATTATAAGTTGAATTAGTATTTTTCCATGAATATTAAGAAAAGTTTCAGAAAAGTTTCAGATCATTTCTGCTGTGAAACACGGTGGTGGCAGAGTGGTGATGTGGGGCTGTAACAGTCAGTGAGTGAAAAGCTCAAACTTAGTCTGATTATGCAACAGATGATTAGAATGGCTTGGAGTGGCCTAGTCAAAGCCTGAACATAAATTAGCTTCAGACACAGCAGCCCAGCTGGAGTGATTTATTAACGGCTGCATCTCAACCCAGAAACAAATGGGGATAAAACCAGGACCTTTAACCCTGGTTCTGTTGAAACGGTAACCAGAACGCTTCTGATAAAATGTTTTCAAATAAACACAAATTTATTATTATTATTATTATTATTATTATTATTATGTTTGCATCGCTCAGGAAAGATGAAATATTTCTTCAGTTTTCTTCAATAGAGACAGAAATAATAACCAAAATAATAATCCTCTAATTATTCTGTAATCCCGTCGTTCTGTAATCTGATTGATTTTTAGTTAAGACAGTTTCTGCTTGATTTACTGTTGAGTAGAAGAACACAAAATAAAATAAAACTGCAACATTTACGGTGATTCCACTTTTTAAAAATGATTTTCTTTAGTCCTGCTGGTATTTTTAATAAACCGTCTAAAATTATATGAGCAGCTCATTAATTCTGCCATTATTTAAATATTATAATAACTTTGCCAATAAAAACTTCACATGGTTCCTGGGTTCAACAAATGCAGGTATTTCTGAGTTTCTGGGTGAAATTGCGTCTTTAATTTCTCCACATTTTGACAGTAAAATTCCTTCAGTGTCGACTGAAAACCATGAATTTGCTCCTCAGCCAATCAGAAAGCAAAAGCTGCAAAATTTAACAAACACACTTTCAGCTGTAAAAGTGACAGCAGTTACAATGAAACCAAAAAATGCATTTTCCCCTGCACGCACGCACACACACACACACACACACACACACACACACACACACACACACACACACACACACACACACACACACACACACACACACACACACACAGAGAGATGGTGAGTCTGTTACCTAAAAGCTTACCACAGGAAACATCTGTTCACACAATATAAACATGTTCAGTTTAGACGAAACCGCAAAGAGAACACCTCGACTCAGACTGCTGCCAACGCTTCACCTTTATTTTACGTTCTGTTAAGAAAAGCTTTCATGTTTTCTTAAAGCAACAACTTTTGTCTTTTTTCATGTTTTCTCTAATAAAAGTTTTCACATTTTATTAATGTTTGAATGAAGCTTTGATGTTTATCTGATTTTCGCAGCGCTGCTGATGCAGGTGCAGAGAAACACCAAACAACGTTTCCTCGTTATTCACTAACGATTCACTTCATGAAGAAACTAAGAGCATTTTAAACTTTTCTTCCAGCCTGTTGCTAAATTATCCCTCTGCCATGTTTCACCAAATCAACCTTATTTTATCTCTTTTTTCCTGAAACAAGTCAGGTTTATTTAGCTTTAGATTTTGATCCAGTGAAAACTGAAAATGATTCTTGATTTAAATTAAATGTATTTGTGATTATCTGATCTTTTTTTAATACCAGAAGAATTTCTGCCATTTAAAGTTTTTATATTTTCCTGCAGAAATATTGTTAAATTACTAAGCAGCTGACAGAAAGTCTGACTGGAATCGGTTTTAATTAATCCCAGTTTATGTTTCGTTTAATTGTTCAGCTGAGTGTCTAACATTTTTATTTTTACTTTTAACGGTTGTGATTTTTGAGTTATGCATCAAAACATCGATATTTCTGTTGAAATTCATGCAGGATTCAGTTTTCTGTCAAATCAGCTCAGAGTGAAGAGAAATTATTCCAAACTCTGTTATAATCCCACTGATAAAATATGTAAATATGTTTCCATCAGAGTTTTTGATATAAACTCCAGGATTATTTGTTTGAAGCATAAATTATATCTGATGATTATTTTAGGTTCTTTTGTCTAATTAAACTCAAAGTTTAATCATTTATTATTATCATCAGGATAGAAAGTCTAAGATGCCAAAAACAAGTTTCAAGCAATATTTATCCATTTAGGTACAAAATACAGCTGGTTAGAATCCTGGACCAATGAGACCATAAAGTTCCTGAACCCTTAAAAATCTGAATTTATAAAAACTAAAGACATTTTCATTCCTCTGATTTGAATGAATTTATCTCTGATATTCATAAATTGCATAATCCAGTGAAAACATGATGCTGATTTTAGATCACAAACACAAAATGAGATTTAACGTTTCATTCTTTTAAAACAAATCTGCTTTTCTACCCTTAAATGCAACTTTTCTTGATTAAAACAGAATGACTCCAGTGTTAAAAATCCAGAATGTTCTTTTAAATAAATGTTGGTTGTATTTTTGATAACATGCAGAAAAGAAAACCCAGAAAGAGAGAGAGAAAGCGCCAGCTTCACAACAAAGACGGAGGCTGTGCCATGCTGCTGCAGAGGGGGCAGCGCCACGTTGGCAAAGCCCAGGGGGCAACCGCTATCTGCTGCCAACACTTCACACACACACACACACACACACACACCCACACACACACACACACACACACACAC